GCAACCCACATACTCAGCTGTGCTGCTCATCCCACAAATGCATGTTCCTTACAAATGGGGCACCGTTTAAAAAGGTAAATAAACAGGCTTTCCAACGGTATACAATTTATTGCCAAGAAGCATTGTTACAACAGAGAAATAATCTACCAAACACTAATTTCCAAACTTTTTGTTCAATGTTTAGATATAAGTCGTTTAATAGAAAATAAAACCGGATATCTGTCATAATCTCTTTGCATGCTTCATTTATTTATTTTCTTGTCAGTATTGGTTTAACATGTTAACTGTTTCTATCAATTATTTACTATTATTATTTTTTTAAATATGTTTTGTTATGGAGGGCAGAATTACATTTTTTCATAATGTGTTATTTGCAGGGTTTATATAAATATGTATTAAAGTAAGTTGCATTCATTTTGATGTAAACTTCTTGTGTGGTGGAGGGAGCTCAGACTTTGTTGTGATCCTTCTACTTTTTAAATCAAATCCATTGCAGGTGCTGCAGTCATTTAGTAAATGATAATATACTGCAATACTGACTGCTTTTTGATACTTAAAGTACATTTATGGTGCTTGTACTTCTCGACTTAAACTTGCAATGCCAACACCCAGCGGTGGAATTTATTTACTCAAGTACTGTACTGTAATTTTCAGGCACTTGTACCTTTTTTTTGTTTTTACATTTTTGAAGCCAATATTGTACTCTTTAATCCACTACATTTGTTTGACTTAAATTACTTTATAATCAGGTTATTAATACAAAATATGAATCAACTAACACATTGTAATGTCTTATTGTAGGTTAAGCTACCCAGCAACATATAAAGTAATTAAAAAAGAGCCCCACTTTTATGAAATCATGACCTAGTGTTTCATACTTATTCTGAAGTGGGCTATTCTACATAATGAGCACCGTTATTTTTGGTATATGGTATTTTGATGCTGCTTTATGTACTTTCACTGAAGCAAGATTTCCAATGCAGGACTGGAACATATTATTTACACAGTGGTATTGCTATTTTTACATAAGTAAAAGATCTGAGTGCTTCTTCCACCACTGCCTACTACGCCCTTGAGCTTTTTTTGTCATGTCTTTAATAGTATAACATCCCATCTGTGGGAATTATTGGACAGGCGCTTAGCACTGACGCCTAAATGCAGGAACCGGCGGTCCTCCTCGCTGTCTGCGCATGCCCGACAGACGTTGCTCTCCGTAGCCAGACAGCAGCAGCTCGGAGAACCAACACCGGGGATGGTCTCTTCATTTTTTCTAAAAATACAATATAAACATTAAATCTCCACAAAATGAAGTTCCCCTACTCATAGATTCGCGAGGAGTAAGTATAATGCTCTTAAATTCGGGTCGCGTCGGTGTTTCTCCGTCTATGAAAAGCTAAAGTTTGCTAACCAGCTGGCCTGGTCACAATAAGCACAAAGAAGCTCCTTATTTATTGGGACTCGAGCTAATCTATTCAACGATGCATTTTTGTGATTTCCCACCGCAGTCAGTCCAGTCCATGTTAGCTGGCTGAAATAGCCCCGCTTCATGTATTAGGTCTGTGCTAACGTTAGCTAGCTGTGGTGAATTACAGCAGATTGAGGCTGGATTGCTAGTCAGATGGCTAACGTTATCTCGCTACAGACTGGCTGTCTGAAAGTGGAGCTACCTCACTCATGACGGCTGTAGTAATGGTGTGATCCGACACGGTCGGTGCTCTGGTTAATTCAGGGCGTTAGCCGACGACGGTGCCAGAGATCCACACGGTAGGTGTGAGCTGTCTCTGTAGGAAAGGTCACGTTATTATCCGGTCTGCATTAATGAAGATCTTCTTTCTCCTTTACACGCACTGCGTCCTCCTGAGGCACACCGAGGGTAAAACAGAAGAGCCGAGTCAGGAGAGAAGCGCTGGTCTGCGTTCAGATCAAACGGAAGAGCCAGGAGCTTTATTGGATTATTATTGAACACGTTTAAGGCCTTTGACTCGTTGGCTTTCCGTTGCTCTCAATACTAAGAGATAGACACAGGCCTACCGCTAAAAACAAGGACGACAAAGCAGGACAAAAGTAAACAACTGCTATGTACATCAATAAATATGTATTGGAGAAAATCAACAATAGCACAATGACGTGCCATCAGTAAGAGAGTGGTGCAGTGCTGGAATAAGTATGGACATGATCGTATACAACTACCACTTAATCTGTGATGAATCTAAGATCACAAAGATTACAAAGATGACACCACTATGACAAGTCTCTCATGTAGCTGACCAGTGGAAGTGAACTAATGGTGAATCATAAACCGCCTGCAAATCTGTGATGAATCTGCAAAATAATGTGTGACTAAACCGTAAAAGAACACTCCAGAGATCCTTCCCTGCCTTCTTCCAACGGAGGAGACGAGGAATAACATTGCACTGAAGCTGCAACTAAGAATTATTATAATTTTCAATAATTCCGACCGCTATTTCTCTTGATTGACTGACTACTAGTTTAGTCTATAAAAGGTCCAGAAATGCTGCTGTATAATTTATGATTATAATAATAGATTTGAAAAAATAAGTAATTTTATGTGTATTTATTTGTTGCTTTTTGTTTTGCAAAGTTAAGCCTGATGTTACTTTACACGTATAAGAATGATCCCAGTCTCTTCCACACAGTGAGGCAGAGACTGTGATATATATATATATATATACACACACACACATACAGAGAGTGTGATAATGATGATGAATAACGATCAATGTCTTGTCCATATATCGTACAATAAGTTGGTGTTTTATTCAAGCCGTCTCTGCTCGCCTGCTGCGCACACGAGCTCCTACAGAACCAGGACGTCGGTTTATTACAAGCGGCCATTTGCAAAAGGTCAAACTACTGGATATGAAAACAGGCCAGCCTAAGTGTCGTCTTTGGCTGACTGGTGCTGCTCTGTTTCTCCCCCAGTATGGTGAGGAGAAGGTGTCCCGTGCTGCAATAGCGTCATAGTGACATGCTGGCTTGCCTGCCGGCATCAGGTGACCCTACCGTCAGACTTCTCTCCCGCACGCAGATGAACACCGGACTTCAGAAATGTGAGTGCCGTTGTGGTCCTATCTGTCCTTTAGATGAGTCATTGGCCAGCAGTCGGGATCGGACGATGTCGATCACGTAGCCACGTTCTAAGATGACAAGAAAGTGTGATTATGGAACATTGTGTCATACATTGACCTTAAAACCTTTAATTCAAGAGCAATACTTTTTTTTTTATAGTGTAAATAATAGAAATTCTGTAGACTGATGGACAAACTGAATTATAGCGTGGTTAACATGATCCATGCTTAAGATGAGGGTTAAACACATCCGTTGAATTATTATTTTATTTAGTTGTCAAGAGAAGTGCCAGCTCGTCATTGATGGCACCGTGCATCTGATCCAAAGCCTCAGTGGCTGCAGAGCTCTTAATAGAGAGCAGATGAAGTCACCACGAAGCTCACGCTGCAGTACATTTTATTCCCACATCTCATGTTGTCCTACAGTGTAGTGTTACAGTACGTGTCGGTATGAAGTGTTGCGACTAGGTTTACATACACAAGATATTCCTACTAAGCTGTTTATATGGCTAATGAAAATGAATATTCCAGTTTACATACAGCCAATGTTTTTTTTCAAAGTTTTCTACCAACAGCGGAGCAGCCTACATCCTTTTATTTCTTCAACCGCATTCTTGAAAACGTCGGCTTTGCAGTATTTGTACATATCCCAAAAACTTTCATAATGTTTAAACGTTGGTGCTTTTCTCCTTCCGACCAGAGATGCGGGCTTCTTCTTTTGGTCATGCATCTCTGGCTGGATTGTGTTCAAGGCACGAGACGCAAAGAATGCTCCTAAAACCGGAGTAATATCTGCACATACCACGTCTTAATCGGAAAACGCTCCATTCGGAACGAGGCCTGATGACCCGTATCAAACTCAGAATAACAGTGGAATATTAGTGTGCATGTAAACGTGTTTTTGTTTGTCTGACCTTCCACATGTTTCAGGGGAAACTACACAGAAGATGAGATCTGCCAGCTATCCAACCCCAGCAGAGTTGGATGCCTTTGCTAAGAAAGTTGCCAACAGCCCTCTGACCATCCAGATCTTCCCCAACAGCGTCAAAGTACCTCAAAGGAAGCACATTCGCCGCACAGTCAACGGGCTCGACACGTCCTCGTCCAGCCAGCGCCACAGTCCCTACCCGTCTCAGGTCAGCTCCAGTAGGGGTCTGCTGGCCGTCCTCCGCGTGCCCGCCAAAGGCTTCGTCAAACAGTCGGACAGCAGCCGCGCCCGGCAGCTCCAGAAGGCCGCCATGAACCCTCACAGCGGGCCGTACGCCGCTCAAAGCACTTTAAATCTCCCTCAACCCACCCCTCACCTACAAGGCCCGACGCCGCCCGACGCCCAGAAGCAGGGCATGGTTCACCCTCAGGCGCTGCAGCAAAGCATGACTCATCCAATGACTGTACAACGGCCTCAAACCGTGCCCCACCCGCAGGCTTTACAGCAAAGGAGCATGGCTCATTCACAAGCTCTGCAGCGGCAGCAGAGTTTGTCCCAGGTTCAGACTCCGCAGCAGAGATTGACTCATCCGCAGAGCATACAGAGGCAGCAGAGTCTGCCTCACACCCAGGCTCAGCAGCAGCAGCAGCAGCAGCAGCAGCAGCAGCAGCAGCAGCAGCAGCAGCAGCAGAGCCAGCCTCATCCACCGGTCGTCCCGCAGCAGCAGCATCTTTCTCATCTGCAGACACTAAAGCATCACGCGGCTCCTCCGCAAGCTTTACTTGCACAGCAGGGAGCGACTCAGGACCTGCGCCACATGTCCGACGGAGCTCAGCTTCCGAGCATACAGCACACCCAGGGGCTAGGCGGCCCACAGCCCCTCCCCCAGGCTGCGGGCGCGGGGCCTCCGACTGCGCCCAACAGCCTCCAGCAGCCCCCACCGGGGGCGTACGGGCCCCGGAAGCTCCCCGACGCAGACGCCCCACCAAATGTAACTGTATCTACCTCTACCATCCCACTGTCCATGGCGGCCAGCCTGCATCAGAACCGGCCGAGTGACCTGAGCAGCATCGTGCACCAAATCAACCAGCTGTGCCAGGCACGGGCCGGTATGGGCGCCACCTCCGTCTGCGAGGGCCAGATTGCGAACCCCAGCCCCATCAGCCGCAACCTTCTGATCAACGCCAGCTCCAGGGTGTCCTGTCACCACCCAGCCCTGGGCTCCGTGCCCAGCTGCCTCATGGTGGGACACCCAGACAAAGCCACAGCTCAGACTCCCAATGCTGCACTCCACTCGCAGCCCAGTATAGCTGCTACTAATAGCATAGCTGCCTTTCACGCAGACCCAGAGAAGGTACAACTGCAGCAGCAGCAGCAACAGCAGCTGCAGCACCATTTACATCAGCAGAAACAGCAGCAGCAGTTACAGCAGCAGCAACATTTACAACATCTGCAGCAGCAGCAGCAGCAGCGCTCCTGGGCCCAGCATCAACTGGCCCACATGCAGCAGCCCCCTGAGGGGGCCAATCCCTGCAAGAACCCAAGGATGGAGCCTCCAACCGAGTGCGCTTACCCCTCTCGAAACCTCAACTATTCCCACAAGCTACCCAACGCCGCACAGTCCTTCGCCCTGAAGCACCCCTCAGAAAAAGCACGGCCGTCGTCCCCCGTTAACTGCCCAGTAGGTTCTATGCCTTACATTAATGGCCACTACATGCAGCCGCCGTGGGGCGGCATCCCGGCCACAGCAGGTAACAATGGATCCGGCCCTCAGGACCTCCCCGGGGCTTTCCAGGGAGGGCAGGCTGCTGCCTCCGCGAACCGCATCCCGGGGGCAAAGTACAGGCCGGGCAAAGAGGGTCCTCCTGACCCGTCCAAGTTGATGCAGAACGTGGATTTCTTAGGAGGGGGCTTCCAGATGCCCAGCTTTCAGGAGCAAAACATGGGCGTGATGGAGAAGATGCACAGGTCGGCCATGGGCCAAGTTCAGGAGCCCAACAACAGCAGCGGCGGTGGCGTTCATGCTCATCACCCGGGCTACCATTAAAGCGTGCGCTTATCCCCTCTCCGGCCCCCTCCCCTTCTTGTGTTTTGAGTTTTTCTCAACAGCTACTTTCAGCTCCTGTGGTTTATTCTTTAAGATCTTGCAAGTGATCAATTACAGTTGAATTGCTCCAGAGCTGGATTTGTAGACCCCACCAGGTTGTGATGTTTCAAAGTATTCCTCAGGTCTTAAGCCATGTCGTACCTTTGTTGCAGATGAAGGGTTTTTGAGATTGTTGTCCACTGTCGAGTAGAATTCCTCTTTTTCATCACTGGCATGGATGTGCTGCTCTTTGTTCGTGTATATATTGTGTTCTAAACTATTCATTTGCAGATGAGAATATGATTGTCACAGTGCTTTTTCCTTGGTTGACATGTAAAACCTTTTATTTTCAGCATTTCTGGCCTTACAACTGCCCAAAGGCAAGATATTAGGATGTCCTCGTGTGATGTTTTCTTTTTTTTGCAATTATTTATCCTCTTAACAGGTTTGTGATCCATTTAAATAAGGTTACATGTATATGCAATTAATAGGACTGTTAATGTTTCTGTCCCAGAGGCTCCTCTCGTAGTCGCGGTGGACACTTCCTCTATCAGGAATACAACATGGCACCTGAACTGTGCCGTTTGTGTCCTGCTAGTTTGTTTCTTTTCTGCATGGTTCAATGGGTGATCACAGTGTGCAAAAACGCCCAACCATCACAGAACTTTAGTTCAAAAATAAGACAACGCCAGCACTAGCAAAATAACAGTAACACTCTCCATGTAGTTTGTGGAGTTGCGAGTAGTTGACTCTTTGTTTGGTAAGTCTAAAGTGCCCTCTTGTGTGTGTGTGTGATATTTCAATAATCGCTTACGAAGAACTTATTTCTGTTTTTGTCGTATTTCTGCAGACGGCCCTACTTGAACTGTAGAAATTCCTTTTTAAATGTTGCGGCCTGACGTCTGGCAAGAGGATCATAAAGTCCATTAGCCCCTATTAGTCTGTAGCTGGCGTGCAACAGAATAGCATCCCATTCATATTAAAATGCCGTGCGCATGTCAGTGTGTGAAAAGTAAATTGATTACTTGCAAGTACTTAAAATAATGCAAGGTGGGAAAAGCGCTTGGGTTTCCCCTCACCACCTTACTACTGTAACACGAGTGAGCTGATGTGGACGTTACCTGTGTGGCTCCGTCTACTGATCGCCGTCTCTCTGCTACCTATAAAAACAAAGGAAGGACATGTAAAGCTAGCTGCGTCTAGCATCAAGCTCCTCTAGTCCTCTTCTTCGGGTTGATGTTTGCTCTGCTGGCCTCAAGCCTTCTGGGAAAAAAAGCCTTAAATGTCACAGTGGTTATCCTCTACTTAATACTTACCTTAACTGACTTCCTTTGCTAGGATCCCAACTTCAGTCTGGCTTTGCTGTGAGAAAGAATGAAGTTTTTCTTTTCTTTTCTTGGAGCTTATTTGAACTCTGTACTGTCTGGTCATTGGACAGAGGTTGTGTGTGTGTGTGTGTGTGTGTGTGTGCGCAAAGGAAGTGGTGATGTTGCCTTACATTGAAACATTAAGGTAATCATGCTACTCCTACTTGATAAAGCACCCATCCTACTGTCTCAAATGTTGCCTATCAAGGATTTTAAGATGTTAAAATATGAATAGTATTTAGCTGAATGAATAGGTATGTAGAACAGGGCTGTAGCAGTTATTTTAAAGTGTTTGGACTGTGTGTTTTTTAGTTGTTATACTTAATAAATATCCTGATATAATTTAATTTATTATTATTTTTGGACCACTGCATCCTGAAGCCATAGGTGTTTTCACATTAGGTGCCATAGGTGAATCCCATTGACGCAGTGGAAGCTGAATTGTCCGTTAATCTGACGTCTTTCCCAGCGCTGAGCTTTTCTTTGCTTTGTTCTCCGTTCTCTGATTTGTGCTCAGAAACACACAGTACAGGTCAAAAGGGAGGAAGAGCTGCTGATCCGCCGTCTGCAGAAAGAGAGACAGCTTAGATGCGAGCCGTAGCTTTTCTGTGTTTTGGTCTTTATACTTAATGGCAGTTTTCTTTCCTGGTTCTCATTTTTGATGTGCCTGCCCCTTAAAGCTGCTATAGACTTTTAATCTGAACACACTAGTATGATTTGTGTGTGTGTGTGTGAATAGTAATGTGTATGGGCTGTATCAGTGAAAATAAGTTCCTATTCATGGGGTGGACGCATGGTGAAGATTTGGTCTATTCTTTATTCCAAATCTATGTAATAACTGACTAGGACTCAGAATGGCAGTGATTTTCAGGAGTTTGACCCACTGCATTGCAGGCCCGTGTGGGTTTCTCAACCTTAAATCAACACTAATCGATCCGACAGGCCTGCCCGGTTTATTTTTGAACTGCCTCGTTACAGCCCGACATAGTCAGGTTCTACAGTTTCATATGAAGTGCCTCCACTGGGCTTAGTATGGAGAAATGTGGGAATGGGTGCTTGTGTGTGTATGTTAAGCTTGGGTACTTGCACACAGGTGTGTGCGCGCCGACAACGCGCACAAAGTTAATCTCTGACGGGGGACCAAGCTACTTAGTTATAACTACTGATACTGTGTCATGGACTAGAAGTCCTGAAGTGTGCCACGACTCCTCGACGCCGTCAGGATGTGTGAACTGTTTGCTGCTGACTCACTGACCAAAGTGACCAAGCGTCCCTTCTCTGTAACCACCCCGGCCTAAAAGCCTCGGCGAGTTTGTATCGGGAACTGATGTTCTGACCGTACTGAGCAGCAACCCGGTGACATAAAGCAGAGCCGCTGCCCTCGTTTGTCACGCTTAAAGAAAATCTTGTGAAGTAAAGATGTGAACGGAGTGTTAAAAATAAATCTAGAGTGAGTGGTTCCTCTCTGCACAGTGCACCCCAATTTTGTTTCGGCCAAGACAGATTCAGATGTTCTACCTGGAACTTTGCATGTTCTGTGATTCCTTTCACACTATTATCACACAGTACACGTGGACGTGTAAGAATCTCATCTAGCCGACTTGATGGCAATATCTATTGGGACACAGGTATGAGACGACCCTCTAGATTGATTTTTACTCTGATTAATCCGATTGTCTTTGATCAATTGAAGATGTATCCTGTTGTGAACGGTGGTGGAGGAGGGGGGGCTTACTTTCTCTACTTTGTGAAAATGTGATATTCCAGTTTTGCCTAACCTTCAGGAATAAAAATGTCTTGCACAAACATTCCCCCTAACCAAAATAAAGTTTGCAAACACGGAGCTTTTACGGGAGACTGTCTTTGTTACAAACACATTCATATGGTCAAGATCAACCTGTTTTCTGTTATCAGCCAAGACATTCAAAACAAGAGCATTAGTGTTCCTACAGGTATAATTCTGACAGTATATACAGTACAGACAGACTAATGTTTTTCTGAAGTGGACATGGCATACAAAACATTTTTAAGAAGGAAGGGACCATTGTGGCTGCAAATGCTCCCCTGAATGTGAAAGTTCAGACTTGTAACTGTAATGGATCTGGGTTTGGATGTTGTGCTGAACCTAAACACAAGTGGTGTGCGTTTGTTGGCGATGTCTAGCACCGATCCTCTCAAAGACTGGATTTGGCCTCCACAGAATCCCTGGAAGATTAAAAGGCAACTCAGTATTGGTGGCACCTACACAGTAAGAAAACAGCAAGTTGTTTGTTTGTCTGCTCTGTTGTCCTACCAGCAGTTTGGTTGGGGGGCTGTGACTTCATCATGCTTTCCCCGGGGTCTTCCTCGTGGACATAACCAACATCTGACCTCCATTGTCTCCAGTTCATTTCGTCCACCCTGAGGTCGAAGAAGACACACATTGGAATACTAGAATAGACACTAGAAAAATACAAGCTGTCCGTATGACCAGGGTAGGAAATTTACATATTTTTACATGTTTGCCCCCACTGACTGAAATCCAGGTGCATTTAAAAAGAAATTGGGGGCACTTTTTGAAACTTGAAACAATAACATTGAACCTTTGTTCAAAATAATAAATATACTTAATTAGGCTTACAATTCTCATCAAATGGCAATAATAAGACTATTAGGCAGTAGTCTACAGATTCAAAGTGTTTTCTCAGATTTTTTTGAACAAAATTTCTTTATTACATTTAACTATTAACAATTATTAAGTCAACGATGCCTTGATTACTTATACATCAGTCATTGGGAATTATTGAGAAAAAATATTTTTGTAGCACCTCAAATATTGTGATATTACCCATTTTTGTCCTGAACTTATGCATTAGTCATTGTGTGGAATTTTTGAGAAAAACATTTTTACAGCACCTTCAAAATTTAAAAAATGTGCCATTTGAAGGTACAAATTCAGTTCAGAGTTTTTGCTAAGTAAAATATCTTAATTGACTGTCAGTCAGGTATTATTCATTTCCAGCAACCCTCAAATCAAAGAATAAAGACACTACGCACAATTTAGGTGTATTTTCCCTTTAACTCACGAGATGCAGGTAGCATGTTTTATACTTAATGTGAATATAATTCATTTAATCTAATTTCCATTATGCAATATGTATACTTTGTTGGCATCTTATTCTGAAAACCGGATGTTCGTCTGAAGAAAGCGGATGTTGTGTCACGTTAATCTTTCCGCTCTAAAATTTAAGTGTCTGCTGAGTTGACCGCAGTCACAGGTCTGATGAAGAAGCGCTCCATTTATTTATTTGTTTAGAACGTTCGGTGCGTGAAGAACCAGTCAAGGCGAACCAGTCAAGACGAATCAGTCAAGGCAAAAATAAAAAACATTCTATGGCAACTGGACCGGGTCATATAGGCTATGATGTTTTTGACAAGTTCATTAAAGTATCATTATTATTAGAGGAAGTTATGGGGGCATTTTTTGCCCCTCTCCTAGTGATATCAGGGGCAAAATTATATTTCTTAGGGGCAGTTTAGCCCTTTGCCCTCGTGTATTTCCGACGCTGCGTATGACACAGTGAGGCCTCTGGTAAATGATACAATTTGTTTCTTTGTAAATTTGAGTGAACTGAGCCTTTAAAAGATGGTGGCCAGTATTCAAGATTAAGACAGTAATTCCTAGACACATTTGTATCTAGCTCAACACTCCACCGTGTTTGTAAAATTGTTTAACACCTGTACAGACTAAACAATAGGCGTTAATATCAGACACATGCAGCGGTGGTTTACCTGAAGAACCTTCGACTCTCTCCCTGCTCGTCTTTGAAACACACTATTTTCGACAGCGTGGAGTACAGCTTACTCTTCAGGCACCTCGGCAGAGTCCTCTCCATGTCCAGAATTGTAAAGGCCCGCTGAGGACGTGCAACAAAATGTCAGTGTGTCAGCCCCGGTGTTTTTGTTTGTTTGTGCACAACCTAGAAACCCTTAATATCGAAGCACTTCTTCAAAATGAATACTACTACTACTACTACTATTAATATTATATTCACTACTAATATCAAGCCACATTTACAGACATCCTTCAGAAGTATCCTAGATTTGTGAGATGAACTTATTCCTGCGAGGTTTTGCGTGCTGTAAAACAAGTTTACAGACCAGAGCAGCTTCCCACCTGCAGGTTCCAGATGTTTTCGCTTTCTTTGGAGATTCTTTCAACCGTGTTGCCCATCACGGCTATGAGCATGTTGAGCAGCAGGATGTAAGTGAGCACTATGTACATGATGAGCAAGATGTAGAACACTTCCTTGCACTGAACGTGGTCCGTGAACTCCAGGTCTCCCATTCCGATAGTGAACTTCATCAACTCCAGCGTTGTGAAACGGAGGTCGTTGTAACTTGGCTTCTTGCACTCAAACGGCTCATCATCAAAGCTCCTCCCACGTGCCGGAGTGCCATCAGGAAGCTTTTCATGAGCTGCAGGAGAGTCTTCTATGAGGGTTACAATAGCTACGGAGGAGGAGAAAATTTAAGTCAGAAGACTTTACTTTGCTTGAACATCTTAAATTCTTCATTCTGCATGTGCTTAACTTTTTGCATTTTACGTCTGTGAAAGTCTTACCAGCAGAAAAGCCAAAAAGGAATACACCATAGACACACAAAAAATGTAGTAGGTCACCCAGGATCATCTAAAAAGAAAGAAAAAGACTGTAAATCAGGCTACCCACGTCTCACGCTGAGACTTTTGGGTACTTCTACTTACTCTTTCCATCATGACACTGTACATCCCCAGTTGTTTAAAGCCTCTTGAGTAGTAAAGAACATTGATCCAGGCCAGAGCCAGCGACAGCACGAGGAGTCCAACGAACTCTCTCAACCCACAGAAGTACAACACTGTGCAGATCAGGAGGAGCGTCGCCTGCAGGAAACTGCGAAACAAAGTGGAGTGGTAAGAAAGTGCTGATAATATATCTGTCCTTCACAAGAGGTTAAAGGCGATACTTACAATAGAATGTCAATTAATCCATTCATGTACAGAGCTTTGAAGGTTGGGGGGTTCCTCTTGAAAATAGTTAACTGTGGATTCGGGAGTCAAGACAAAGACAAATAGTTTAAAAATGATTGGGACTCTTTTTGTGTGAATTACTGGAACCGGATTCCACTTCCTCACCGCTTTATAGAAAAACCACGCAGCTCCAAGGACACTGAGGAGCTCGCCAATGCAGCGAATGTAGTCGAGCGGGTCATCTTCAATGGGAAAAGGTGGCTGCAAGTCAAAAGGATGAGGAGTCATTGCTCAGGGTTAATGAAGTCGTTAAAACCGTTTTTTAATCAATGGATGGTTTGGTTGGTTTAGTTTTTTTGCCTTACCTGTCCTTCCTTCCTGTAGAAGGCCACAGAGGTGAAGATGCTCAGGTATGACAGGTAGACCAGGAAATTCATCAAGAATAACTTGGAAGCAAACCTGTCCCACTTGTCCTCCAGAAGGCTGCGCAGCGGCTCGATCTGGAGCATCTCAGGACGATTCTGAGGCGACATTCACAGGATCATTTCCACATCAAAGGCCTCTATTGAAACTGGCACAGCGACGCCCCAAAAGCCTTTGATCGGGCCTTGTGAAGGCCATGAAAGCTTGTTTACAGAAACAAAGAAAGTAAACGGTAAACGACTGCCAGAGCACTGCCAGATGTTTCTGTAATTTTGCAGTGCCGCTACATAATTCCTCCATTATAATAGGCATATCTTGAGCATCATTTCCATATATAGTTACATGTCTACATCTATAAAATGAACATTATATAGAATACATATTTGTTGACTTAATCCTGCTCTATATTATCTGAAGCAGGAGGATGTTGTGTCTGACAATGGAACCGGTTAGGAGCGGTTACCGAGATATTGAGACGTTGGTATCCATTGGGGCAG